ACTTAATAAACAATAAGATTTAGTGTTTTATTTTTAAAAACTAGAAAGATGGAAAAGTGAAAACAAAGTCTTGGTTTTATAACCCTATCACTTAGCCCATTTTTACTGACAGTGTGCTGTTTTCAATTCTTATAGGGACTCATCAATTATTTCATTTAAGGCTTTATATGCTTTGGAGCTGTTTCATTCCATGGTATTTTGTTAGTAAGTAGTCTGTTGTACATAGTTGTAATTATATAGTTTTGTACTTTGATTTCTTTACCATGATAAAATATTTTACATTAAAAATTCTGTACACAGCCACTATGGAGAACAGTGTGGAGATTCCTTAAAAAACTGGAAATAGAACTGCCATATGACTCAGCAATCCCACTCCTGGGCATCCACACCGAGGAAACGAGAACTGAAAGAGATACATGTACCCCAGTGTTCATCACAGCACTGTTTATAATAGCCAGGACATGGAAGCAACCTAGATGCCCATCAGCAGACGAATGGATAAGAAAGCTGTGGTACATATACACAATGGAATATTACTCATCCATTAAAAAGAATACATTTGAATCAGTTCTAATTAGATGGATGAAACTTAAGCCCATTATACAGAGTGAAGTAAGCCAGAAAGATAAACACCAATACAGTATGCTAACGCATATATATGGAATTTAGAAAGATGGTAATGATAACCCTGTATGCGAGGCAGCAAGAGAGACACAGATGTATTGAACAGTCTTTTGGACTCTGTGGGAGAGGGCAAGGGCAGGATGATATGGGAGAATGGCATTGAAACATGTAAATTATCATATGTGAAACAAATCGCCAGTCCAGGTTCGATGCATGATACAGGGTGCTCGGGGCTGGTGTGCTGGGATGACCCAGAGGGATGGGGTGGGTAAGGAGGTGCGGGGGGGTGGGGTGTTCAGGATGGGGAACACATGTACACCCATGGTGGATTCAGGTCAAAGTATGGCAAAACCAATATAATGTTGTAAAGTAAAATAGATTAATTAAAAAAAATAAAAATAAAAATTCTGTACATAATTTAAGTGGACATGCTGTAATTTACATAAATTACTTAGTTGGACACTTAACCTTGTAGCATTGTTGAATGAATGATACTTCATTTGTGTAATAAACTATCAAACAGTCATTTAAAAAGGTGTAGTCAGGGATTTCCATGGTGGTCTGGTGGCGAGGAATCTCCCTTCCAATGTAGGCAATGCAGGTTCGATCCCAGGTCTGGGAATGAAGATCCCACATACCATGAGAAAAGCCCATGTGCCACAACTGAGACCCAATGCAGCTAAATAAATAAATATTTTTTAAAAAAATAAAAAGGTGTAGTCAAAGTATATTTGTTAATAAAGAAACATGTTCATGATTGTATGTAAAATGAGATGATTTTACCTCCCAAATCTATCTGGACATTGACTGCCTCAATCTGAGCAGCTTTCAAACTTTTAATGGGCCTCAGAATGACCAAAAGAGCCTGTTAAGTGCAGGTTGGGGACCCTCCCCTTTGAGTATGATTTACGAGACGGGGCTCAGGGATTGGCACTTTTCCAAGGGTCCAGTGATTCTGATGAGGGAATGACACTCCTTCAATTTCTCCCTGTTGATACTGTACTTCGTTTTTCAAGCTTCCCCTCCTCCTTTCTCCTGAATGCCTAGAGTGTTCTGTTTCCTTGCCTTGTGGATCTGTGTGAAGCCTTTTGAATGGTAATGCTTTTCTGGTCCTACAAGCAAACCCAGTTAGGTGCCCACTTGGGCACCATGTCCCATCCCTGGGCTTGGAGTCAAGCCCCGAGAGGATTCCTGGACATAGATACTGACAATTTTGGAATCCAGGTTTTCTTTACTTTGTAGCAAAGAGAAAGTGGCTTAGCATTTCAGAACTCTTGAGCACACCTGGTGCTTAAGAGTTCAAAGTTCAAAGTAGGTGCTCAAAGTTCAAAGCAGGAACTTGGAGGGATAAAGGTAGCCTGTCCAACCTTGATAGAAAAAAAAAAAATCTTGTTTAAATTAGCGTCACCTTGGCAATCAAGCTGTGAAAAGTCAATAGTTTGTCCTTTGTGCATTTAGTCTAAGCCCGAGATAACCAGTATTCATTGGAGAGGCTGGTTAAAAACTTTCAAGAGGCTTAGCTTTCCAAAAGCATTGGGTGAATATCTTCAGGTTTATGGGCTGGTTTTCATCCTCAGGCTTGGTGCCATGGAGGGTTATTCAAGATAAGTTTCTCATTTTGCTGTTCACTTAGGAGCCATTCATGCTAAAATTGAGATTGAGTTACTACCAATATTTCTTCATTTAGATTTTACTGGTTTGATTTCCCTACTTCCTTGGACCAAATTACACACACACACACACACACACACACACTTTTTTGGCTGTGCTGGGTCTTTGTCACTGCATGTGGCTTTCTCTTGTTGCGGAGCACCAGCTCTAGGGTGAGTGGCCTTCAGTAATCTGGGCACATAGGTTCTAGGGTGCAGGCTTAGTAGTTGTGGCGCTACGTGCTTAGTAAGCTCGGCAGCATGTGGAATCTTCCCAAACCAGGGATCAAGCCGGTGTTCTCTGCGTTGCAAGGCAGATTCTTAACCTCTGGACCACCAGGGAAGCCCTCAGATAATATTGAATACCTATGTCAAGTCAGGCTTTTCTTGTCCTACACTCTGCTTCATATTACAGGTCAGCTTTGCAAATGCAGAGTTAGAAAACAATTGAGAAACATTATGTCAGGGTGATGGGCTTCCCTGGTGGTTCAATGGTAGAGAACCCACCTGCCAATGCAGGAGACATGGGTTTGATCCTTGGGTCAGAAAGATGCCTTAGAGAAGGAAATGGCAACCCACTCCAGTATTCTTGCCTGGGAAATCCCACGGACAGAGAAGCCTGGTGGGTTATAGTCCACGGGGTAGCAAGAGTCGGACACGACTTAGCAACTAAACAACAACAATGTCAAGATGATACTGAATTTTTTTCCCTGCTTGTGAGGGGACCAGACCATATTCTGTGCAAATCTGTGGTTATTCTAGGCTTGAAAGCATTAATAGCTACAGAAAAGAATCCCCCCGAAGGAAACCTAGAGAGCCAAGTTTAATAGAAAAAAAGTCAGAAAAAAGCTCTTATTTGCTTCGCATGAAAAATGGTAACATGCTGAATTTGGAGCCCTAGGTGATCTGAGAATTGATAATATGGGGGAATCAGAGATTCTGGTTAATAAAGTGGTTCTGGTGGGAAACCACCAAATGGACTGTACTGATGCTTGTCCACACGGCTAACTTGGAGTCACTCTTCAGAACCCCGGTCAGAAGTCAGCTCTAAAACCCTACGTCTGTAAATTTTATGTGATCCCCCTCCTTGGAAAAGTTTCTTCCTTTATTCTACAGTCACACCGGTACCTGATACACACTCTGTGATCATATATGTCACTGTCCAGTGTAATGATGCTTGCATCAGAGACTCACTGGGTGTAGAGAGCATGACTATCTGTAGGGTTAACTGCCTGGGTATAATAGTACTAAATAAATGGATGTGAATAAATGACCTGAGTTGTCTGCACTGAACAGGTGGCATCAGTCAGATAAGCTGCCCTTTGGGGATGTTTTTTTGACAATTTCTGCAATTACTAAATTTAAAGCATTACCCTGTCAAGATGAAATGTCCTACAATTGTTATAATAAATTAAGAATTAATGATGGAAAAGACAAGTCCAGTATCTGCTTCTCCCTGAGTTCTTTTTGGTAAGCAAGTATGCCCTCATCTATGGGATCCCCAGATTAAAGGAACTACACTAGAAATTCTGCAGAAATGGGCCCCACATTAGCCCACAGACTGCTGTTAAATTCCTTTCCTGGGTTCTTGAATTCCACAGAAGGTTTAGCTATTACAGATATGTGAACTTTGTATCTAGGAGCTAGATATCAAATATACATCTCCTCAATCTCTAGTTTTAAAGTGTATTTAAAAAAAGAATGTGATTTTAGAATCAAAAGAAACCTCTGCATTTTGCTGATTAGGACACCAAGCTTCTTGAGCGACAGGCTGTTTTCATTAGTGTTAAGAGCTCTAGAATTGAGTCATATAGGCCAGAATTCAGGTCTTGGTTCTGGGGCTCAAATCACAGCCTCTTACTGGCTGTGTGATCATAAGCAGTTTATTTAATATTTTTTGAAGGTCAGTGTTTTCATTTTGTAAAGTCTGGTTAAAAATCTATCTCACTGGGTCAGAACAAGGGATTACCTGAGTTAATATGAACCAAAGATGCAATGGTAACATCTGCCCAGTGCGAATCTTCCATGAAGTTTAGTCTCTGCCCAAATCTCACCATCCCTGGCAGAGTTAGGACTTACAAGTTTTCCTTGAGGCATTGTCCGCATAGTTTGTGGTTCCCAGCTTACATGACAGGACTCAGTACTCATCAAGGACACTCACTGCTGAGAGGCTTTATTACATGATCATTTGTATACAACAAGACTCAGGATTTACTGTAAAAACAATCTCCCTTCTGAGTTACATGTTTTCTTGATGTTGGTTTTTTTCACATGCCTTGCACTGAGAGTTCTGTCTCCCTCCCAGTCAACTATCAATTATTATTTCTGTGTTATTGTGTGAATTAGCAAGATCACTTCTATAAGGCACCAAGAACTCAGAGCACACTTTTTGGAAAAACAATTTTGGAACAATCAGATCTATGTAACCTACTAAGTCTACTAAACATTTTGGAAGAATAAGATCTATGTAACCTACTAAGTCTTCAATTTTTAAAAGTCATATTCTAGAATAAGAAGTTAAATATTTCTGATGATTGAAAGGATTTTGGCTGGCAGTAAACTAAAAGCATTCCAGGCACGGAGGTGTTAGTTGCATGAACTGAGATGGTCATGAAACATTCATCAGGTGGGAGAAGTAGCATCATTGTTCACTATTCTCATTCTACCAGAGTTCATTCGTCATTTCAAAAGGCTACTCATTTTTCTGTACTTATCTCCCCCGTAAAGGCAGAAACCTGTGGGTTCTCGTCGTGGGACGCTCTCCAAAGGAACACAGAATCGGGATTCCGGAATTCAAGTACGTGGCAAATATGCATGGAGATGAGGTACGTATGTGGTTTGAATGTGTATCTGATGTGTCACCAAAGGACCTTCCCTTGGGGCTCTTGCTCTCTGTAAATGCAGAGGAAGCAGCAGACACTGTAGCCAGGAATCTGGAAGGGTCTGCCTATAAGGCCTGAGAGGACTGAAGGAGACATGAGCCAAAAGCCATCACAGCTGTTTGGTTGTTTACCCATTGCCCCGGGCAGCTAACCGGAGCTTGCTTTTTGTTTGGGGGCTGGAAGAAGGACAGCTGTCCAAGTCCATGAACGCCTCCTGGGTTGGTTTTCCCTACCTCCTGCTCAGCATCGGGGTGAGCCAGCAGAAGAGTGATATATTTGAACTAAGAAGGTCCCAACTGGCTACCCAGCCTCCTACTAGCTGGCTTTTTTTAATGCTTTTGTCACTTTCTCTTAATCCAAAACTTGACATTTTTGATGCTTAAGTTTAGACCATCAAGCTTAGGGCTCTGTCATCCCCACCATTCCACAAACCCTTAAATTCCATCGTAACATCTTGCTGTTTTCCAGCTTATCAGAGATCAATTCTATTTTGTTTCATTTATATTATTTATCTTATAATTTGCAAAATACCCTTTTACCACTCCTGGCTGCCCAACCATTCGAGCCAGGCATTTGAAGATGTTCCCCAAAATTTCTCACCTTACTTCCTCAGAGGATATTTTTGTATGTATACTTTTATATATATTTTAGTATATACTTTTGTATATGTATTTTATGTACAATAAAATATATTTTAATATATATTTATACATACTTTTTAATATATATTTTAGTATATACTTCCTCAGCTCTCATATTTTTGAGAATATGACAGCTGCAGGATTTTCTCTTTCCCAGGACCCCACACAACTGGGCAATCCAGTGGAAGGGAAAGATATTCTCCAGTCTTGACAGTAAAGAAAATTGACATATGATCTGTGTCACACCTTATCAAACACACTTAACTTTAGGGAATGTCAGAGAAAATGCATAATCCTTTAAGGACGACCTGCTGACTTGTTACAACACTTCCAGATCTGCAATAGTGTGGCAGCCTGCACTGCTCAAATGCTGCGCATCCTGTCCCAACTCAACCCTCCCTAAACCCAGGCTTTATAGGAACAGGCTCCACCCTGCGTGATACACAGTTCTGCCTGTCCTGTCCAGACATGCCGCTCAACCCGTCCTGACCAGCGAGGGGACTTCTCGCCACTGGATCTCAAGTGCAAACGTTTGCCTCTGAGAAAATGGCTTGGCTTGTCTTTGAATCTGATTTATGGGTGGGTGGAAGTTACTTTTCTGAGTATAATAGGCTGTGCTCAAAAAGGCTTGATATTGCTGGGAGGCTGAGCAAACTTGTTTTTAATAAAACGACTATTCATGATAGACAGCAGCCCAGACTTCCTTTCCCTTTTGCTATCTGGTCAATTGATTGGGTCCCATGGAATCCATTTTTAATAAGAGTCATGTGGCCCTCAATTGACTCCAGTAGCTTATTTATTGAATTCCTAGCATTTCAAAAGGTTGCAATCCGCTGCTCAGAATTTATTCCTCTCAACTGAAACTTCCAAAGAAAAGCAAGAGTCCTTCCTCTCGTTCACCCCTGAATTTGCTTGTACTTTCCCAAATTTCTGACATCTTACCCTCCAGGTAGTTAATGTATCCCGTCAAAGCAGGTTCACTCATTCACCTTGATTCTTTGACGACTGCCAAGGACTGAGATGATGCAGGGGGGAATGTCAGTGTGTTTTGGGTGTGGAGACCTGAAGTCCTGTCAACCTGTGTGTCCCAGCTGTTAACAGTGTCTGACAGCTTTGGGGGCCACTGAGAAACTTATTATCCTGAATTTGGATCTTGTGTGTTCTGCCCTCCTGGTGCCACCAGGAGCTGGGGAAAGGGATGGCTTAACCCAGGAGCAGAAGGGTGACTTGGATTAGCTGGGTCTAACCAGCTTCCTCATCCTTCTTCTTCTCTTAGAACTTTTGGGATTAAAGAGCATTTTCAAGGCCCTCTATTAAAAAGCAGCATATATATATATATATATAACATTTGTGGGCAGTGGTTCTTAACCTTCTTTGGGTGGATTCCTTGCTATTCTGGCACTAGCTTTGTTTTTTTTTTTCCCCATTTATTTTTATTAGTTGGAGGCTAATTACTTTACAACATTGCAGTGGTTTTTATCATACATTGAAATGAATTAGCCATGGATTTACATGTATTCCCCATCCCGGTCCCCCCTCCCACCTCCCTCTCCACACCATCCCTCTGGGTCTTCCCAGTGCACCAGGCCCGAGCACTTGTCTCATGCATCCAGCCTGGGCTGGTGATCTGTTTCACCCTAGATAATATACATGTTTCGATGCTGTTCTCTCGAAACATCCCACCCTCGCCTTCTCCCACAGAGTCCACAAGTCTGTTCTATACATCTGAGTCTCTTTTTCTGTTTTGCATATAGGGTTATCGTTACCATCTTTCTAAATTCCATATATATGTGTTAGTATACTGTAATGGTCTTTATCTTTCTGGCTTACTTCACTCTGTATAATGGGCTCCAGTTTCATCCATCTCATTAGAACTGATTCAAATGAATTCTTTTTGATGGCTGAGTAATATTCCATGGTGTATATGTACCACAGCTTCCTCATCCATTCGTCTGCTGATGGGCATTTAGGTTGCTTCCATGTCCTGGCTATTATAAACAGTGCTGTGATGAATGTTGGGGTGCACGTGTCTCTTTCAGATCTGATTTTCTGGTGTGTATGCCCAGAAGTGGGATTGCTGGGTCATATGGCAGTTCTATTTCCAGCTTTTTAAGAAATATCCACACTGTTTTCCATAGTGGCTGTACTAATTTGCATTCCCACCAACAGTGTAAGAGGGTTCCCTTTTCTCCACACCCTCTCCAGCATTTATTGCTTGTAGACTTTTGGATAGCAGCCATCCTGACTGGCGTGTAATGGTACCTCATTGTGGTTTTGATTTGCATTTCTCTGATAATGAGTGATGTTGAGCATCTTTTCATGTGTTTGTTAGCCATCTGTATGTCTTCCTTGGAGAAATGTCTGTCCAGTTCTTTGGCCCATTTTTTGATTGGGTCATTTATTTTTCTGGAGTTGAGCTGGAGGAGTTGCTTGTATATTTTTGAGATTAATCCTTTGTCTGTTGCTTCATTTGCTATTATTTTCTCCCAATCTGAGGGCTGTCTTTTCACCTTGCTTATAGTTTCCTTTGTTGTGCAAAAGCTTTTAAGTTTCATTAGGTCCCATTTGTTTATTTTTGCTTTTGTTTCTAAAATTCTGGGATGTGGGTCATAGAGGATCCTGCTGTGATTTATGTCGGAGAGTGTTTTGCCTATGTTCTCCTCTAGGAGTTTTATAGTTTCTGGTCTTACATTTAGATCTTTAATCCATTTTGAGTTTATTTTTGTGTATGGTGTTAGAAAGTGTTCTAGTTTCATTCTTGTACAGGTGGTTGACCAGTTTTCCCAGCACCACTTGTTAAAGAGGTTGTCTTTTTTCCATTGTATATCTTTGCCTCCTTTGTCGAAGATAAGGTGACCATAGGTTTGTGGATTTATCTCTGGGCTTTCTATTCTGTTCCATTGATCTATATTTCTGTCTTTGTGCCAGTACCATACTGTCTTGATGACTGTGGCACTAGCTTTGAATGCTGTCCTCAAGGTGCATGGATCTTCTAGGAGTCTGTGGGCCTCAGCACTCAGTCTTACACAATACACTACCCAGTTGTGGATTGTTGCTTCAAAATTTTTTTGCAATTGTTCTTATAAGTGCTGGAACACTCATTTCCATCTATCTAGCAAGTTCCAACTTGACTGAATTGAAGTAAAACTGATAGAGATTTATTTTCTGCTTTTCTGAGTTCTTGCCATCTTTTTTTTTAAACTTTTAATTTTATGTTGGAGTATGATGGACATGAGTTTGACTAAACTCCGGGAGTTTGTGATGGACAGGGAGGCCTGGCGTGCTGCAATTCATGGGGTCGCAAAGAGTCGGACACGACTGAGCGACTGAACTGAACTGAACTGATAGTTGATTAATAATATGTTACTTTCAGGTGTATAGCAAAGTGATTCACTTATACATGTATCTATTTTTTCAAAGCCTTTTCCCATTTAGGTTGTTACATAGTACTGAGCAGAGTTTCCTGTGCTAATACAATGGGTCCTTGCTGGTTATCCATTTTGCATATAGCACTGTGTGTATGTTAACCCCAAACTCCCTAACTCTCCTTCGCCACTCTATACCACATTCCTCCCTGGTAGCCATAAATTCATTCTCTGTGAGTCTGTTTCTGTTTTATAAATAATTTTGTTTGTATCATGTTTTTTAAGATTCCTTTTATATGCAATATTATAATTGTATATATTGTACACAACTGTATACATTGTATAATTCCTCTTTCTCAGTCTGACTTACTTCACTCACTCTGACAATCTGTAGGTCCATCCTGGGGTATTGCCATCTTAATGACCAGATGAATTATCAGAGAAACACTCTAGAAGCCGGTGTGCTCACCCAGCCTTTCAGGCTCTTCATTAGGGATTCTCCACACTCTCACACAAGGAAGCAAAAGCTAAATGAAAGGCTGGATAAGTCAATGGAAACACTTTTGACCACATTTAAAAAAAAACTTTAGTCTCTCTAAGGTCTCATGTTCAAAGGCTTAATTTTAAATGAAGGGAGGCCTATACATAAAACATGAATGAGTATTTGAGACATTTATATTAAGGTTGAGAAGAATTCATTTGAATAATATGTGGCATAAATTTGCTTTTATAGAGACAAGAAAATATTGTCCAAGGACCTTGTTTAACTCTCTCTGAAATTTTATCAGTTTATCTCACCAGTTTTAAGATTATCTGACTCTTAATCAGTTCTTTATCACACTTCCAAGATTTTTATTTCGCCCTATGCAGTTAAGAATTTGTGGCTTGTTTTGTTGGAGTATGGAGGCAAACAGAAAATACCTTGGCCACACATTTGTGTCCTTGAAAGTATCATGATTTTGTTTTTGTAAAAAGAACATAGGTTTTCTTTCATTTAAAAGAACTAGAAAAATAAGAGTTAATAAGAATTATTCAGAATACTGTCACTCAGAAATAGCCATCATTATTATTTGCCAGATGCTATTCTACATATCTCTTTATTTCTGTAGTAATAGAATGAGAGGAATCAAAAGGAAATAAGATGTGTCATATGTGTTATCTTTAAGAAGTATAAGATTTAATAACTTTACTTGAACTTAACAGAACTGAAGTGAAATGAAAATGATTGGTGAACTTGTTATTTTCTCAAAATAAGAAACTATCAGAAGATTCTTCTGAAGTCAAAAAATTAGGAAAAACTGAAGTTATAATGATTTTTATATATTATTAGACTTTGGATAATATCCTATGACCCATTGCTATGAAAAGTGAAGAAATTAGCACTTTGAAAACTCATCTCTCCCCTCCTCTCCCCTAGCCCCCACCCTTGCTGTTAACTATAAACCTTAACTTTTACCTTCTATCCTATACTCACATCACCACAGTTGCCTAATTTAGTTGTATAGCTTAATCACAGCTTCTTACTCGTTGTTTTCATTTGCTTGTGGGTGGATGAATTTCATTGCCAACTCCTGTCTTGAGTTCAAGCATGCTTGAGAATGTATGATTCAGAGAGTTAAGAGGAAATTTACTTTTAGAATCACGTGGAGATTCCAATATGGCTCACTTCATACTTGATCTGGAACTCAGATTGGCCTCAGGTTTTTTCTGGTGCATCCCTCTAAGGGCAGCATCCTGCAGTCTTGAACCAGCATTTAGAAATCTCACTTCCTCCTCCCTTTCCTTGACCCTTTTCTCTTCCCCTCCCCTTGCCAGGAAAGCCCCCCTTCAACCAACCACACAGTCCACTTGTAGAGCCTTTCACAACTTAAAATTACCAGCCCCTCCTCCTCTGGTTTTAGGGAAGGCAGTAAGGAGCTTGCAAATGTGCTTGAGCTTCCAAAACACTGAATTGGAAACCCAGTGTGTGACTCACTTGACTTTTTTAGTTATTAGTTTGTAAGGACCTTTTTCAACCTACAATTTGGACTATAAAAACAAAAGTCACAGTAGTGGAAGAAGACAGACATGAGTGGGGAAAGAAAAAATTGAAGTCGGAATGGAATTTATTTCCACTCTAAATTTTATGGCTATGTATAAATATATAATTCACATATTTAAATTTTTCTTAGTTCCATTTTCAATTATTCTGCGTCCATTAGGATAAAAAATTCATAAGATGTGATCTCTTTGCTTGCCAGCAAGGGATATAGAGTGCAGCTTTGTTCCTTCTTTGTCACAGCCATGAATTGCTACAATGGAGTCATAATTGAAGATTCTTTTGTTGCCTGTGGCCTTCATTAATGCCCTGGAAGCACCATCCTTATTTAACCACCTGCTGCACTGATTTCCCATATCCTAACCCCTCAACAACATCTGATCAAATGTAAGAGGTAAATACTCCTTACTTAGAAGCAGAACCTTTGAGCTCAGGGTTACAGGGGTAAATTAATGTAGGCTAATCAGATCTTTACAGAATAAGGCTGAAAATGTGAATTCCTTTTTTTTTCTAAAAAAAGAAAAATAGGAAATCTCTCCCTTATACAGCAAGATTTTTCACAGGCCTTCAATTTCCCCGTCGTTGTTGGTACATAAGGTAATTTTAGGTGAATGTGACCAAGTTTATTTTCATAGTCATGCTTTTATCTTACTGTGTAATTAAAAACATGAAATCTATCAAAATGATAATTATACAGTTTATCATTTTTAATGTAAGTAAAAAGCGAGCCAATTTACAGAAAATGCAAACTAAATAATAGTATAGATAATATGCAGATATGGCAAAAAGTTGTGAGGATGATGTGCCAACGAAACATGAGACCGTGGAAATCAGAAGTACAGAGGTATGGCAAAAATTGCACAAGTGTGCAAGAGGGGAATTTGAAAATAGAAGAACTTGGAAATAGGGCAATCTGGAAATCAGAAACCTACTTAAATTATGAGCGTTACAAATTTGGATTTTTCTCTGTTAACATCTACATGTCTGCTGCAGTCGTCCTCCATGTATCATCCACCGAGACAGGCCCCACAGCTCTCCCATGTATCACGTGTGCTCGTGAAGATGCTCAACTCCCCTGCATGATTTCTAGCTCCCCCTCTCTCCCTCACTCCAGGAAATATTTGGAAGACAAGCAAATTGAAAAAAGGACAATAAGAAATAGCCCTTACTCCACTCTAATTCATTTTTAAAAAGTAAATTATTAGATACTTTTTAAAAAATTAAACTTAAACTCTTAAAAAGATTTTGCAGCATACTAGTGATGGATTGCCATGGGCCTGAAGAAACAGTGGTCTGACAACTGGTTTTGGTTTTAAATATCATCTGTAGTGTTTCTTGTTGGGGAATTTGTACCTTGGGGACTGTTTTCCTTCTTTTCCTCAAGTAGCCTCTTCTCTCTTTAACACCTACAGGCTGTAGGGCGGGAACTGCTGCTCCATTTAATTGAATATCTTGTAACCAGAGATGGAAGTGACCCTGAAATCACAAATCTAATCAACAGTACCCGGATACACATCATGCCCTCAATGAACCCAGATGGATTCGAAGCTGTTGTTAAGCCTGACTGTTTTTACAATGAGGGCAGGTAAGAATGGGCCTATCTTTGTAAAACATAAGAACATCACAAAAGGCCCCCATCGGATCGGACACCTTGGCCCTGTCCAGAGGAATTAACGAAGCATCTCATAGCCTGTGTATGTCGCTGCCGTGCTGCAGACCCTTCAGGGCCACCCATGGCTTTGGCTGGCAGAAGTGAAATCCTGAATAAGGCTGGTTTACTCCTGTGCCTGCCCACCCTCCACTGCTCCGGCTGTATTGCTTCTTCCACTGTCACCCTGCTGCAGCCGCTTAGATCCCTCTTCACCCCTGAAACTACAGCTACAGGCTTCCTTCTCACCTCTGGCATTCCCACCCCCCTTGGGCCCACCCTGGCCTGTTACACCAGCATCTCCTCAAAGCCTCCTTCCCTAACCTATCGGATATTAGGTCCCCAGTTACACTCATATCACCTGGCCCCTTACCCTCACAGCACAATTTTAATGTCTCATTTCTCCTTTAATGTCTAGCTGAGGGCAGGAGCCCTACCCATAGTGTTCACCACTAAGAAATCCCAGGGCCTAGTATAGAACCTGGCCCCTCGATAAGCAGGTTGATTTATTAAGCCAGCCCAAGTACTAACATAAAGAAGAGTGAGTCTTGTAGTATTTCTGATTTAAAGTTTATTGTATTTTAAATGGCCTCGGGGAGTTTGGAATTTCTCAAATGTCTGATAAACACTGATATTTGTGCAATTAAAATTTTGTTTTTACCAAAGATAAATCACCGCTGGATTCCCTTCCACTTTTAAGATTTTTTTTTTTAGCATATTTAAACATGGCCAAGTCTTTCCATGTGGCTCAGTGGTAAAGAATCCATCTGCCAAGCCAGAGACGCAAGTTTGATCCCTGTATCAGGAAGATTCCCTGGAGAAGGAAATGGCAACCCAGTCCAATATTCTTGCCTGGGAAATCCCATGGATAGAGAAGCCTGGCAGGCTACAGTCCATAGCGTCACAGAGTCCAACAGGACTTAGTGATTAAACAACTATGACAAACATAGCCAATCCACTTTTCAGAAATATATTTGCATAAAATAGCATGTTCCTATTATTTGTGATAACAATTGCTATGGAATCAACTGCCCCCAGATTGAGGAAACAGCCACCTTTTTATTTACTCTCCACTCTGTAAGTTGGGAATTTGGGCAGAGCAGGGTCCATTGCTATGCCACGATGACTGGGACCTCCGCGGGGGTCTGTCTGGGACCCTGTGTCTTGAGTTTCAGTTCTGGCTCTCACCTGGGTCCCTCATTCCTTCATGTGGCCCCTTGATGTAGCTAGCACTGGGGTCTCAGGGTTCCAAATGGGAGTGTCCCAAGAGCAAAAGCCCTGAAACACACACACTTATCAACCTCTGCTTACATCCGAATCACTCCTGTCCCACTGCAAGAACAAGTCTCACGGGAGGGAACAACATAGTGCACGAATACCAAGTGCAATTCATTGGAGGCTGACAAGGCAACCATCTGCTGCTGCTGCTGCTGCTGCTAAGTCGCTTCAGTCATGTCTGACTCTACACGACCCCATAGACGGCAGCCCACCAGGCTCCCCAATCCCTGGGATTCTCCAGGCAAGAACAATGGAGTGGGTTGCCATTTCCTTCTCCAATGCAGAAAAGTGAAGTTAAATTGAAGTCGCTCAGTCATGTCCGACTCTTAGCGACCCCATGGACTGCAGCCCAGCAGGCTCCTCCATCCATGGGATTTTGCGGGCAAGAGGACTGGAGTGGGGAGCCGTGGCCTTCTCCAGCAACCATCTACCACCTATGTATTCATATCTGGAAAAACAGCTGGAGCTCAGAGCAAAGGTCTATACTCTGCAGGAATTTGCTCCCTCATATACCAACAGTAAACCCTTAAAACTTTTCTTTTAAAGGGATAATAGTAACTTCTATGACCTGAATCGAAATTTCCCTGATGCTTTTGAGTTTAATGAGGTACCAAGGCAGCCTGAGACCGTGGCAGTCATGCAGTGGCTGAACACAGAGACCTTTGTCCTCTCTGCAAACCTCCATGGCGGTGCCCTGGTGGCCAGTTACCCGTTTGATAATGGTGTTCCAGGTAAGCACACGTGGGCCCTGCTCTTGCATTCTAAATCCAGAGTGAGACTACAAACTTTCCACCTGTAAATGGGGATACATTCTTTCCCTCCCTACTTAATTTTTCTGGTAGGGGTGGAAAAAGCCTCATTCTCTCAACTCTGAGCTATCCTTCCTACAATTTATAAACAGTAGATGGGTAAGGTGTCTGAACTGACAACGAAAAATGGGATTACTTGACATTCATCAGTGAAATAGTAAAATTGTAATTTAGATTAGCACACAAGAGACAACATGGCTGAAAAAAAAAAAAAAAACCTAATCACATAAATAATAATTCCTGACTCCTCTTAAAACTGTGGGATGAGGTATGTACCAAGGAGTTAACATATTCTAGTGACTTCATTTAATCCCTACAGTACCTAAGGAAAGTTTACTGATCTCCTGGAATCAACAAGAATGACTAAGAAGGTATTTAACTTTTAAGCTGATTGAGGAGGAGTTTGGACATGTATGTGGTTATTTTCTGTGATATCCCTTCTGTTATGTCCATCAAAAACTGGGAAGAAAAGTAGAGAGAAGCATTCGTGGAAGTGGGTAGAGGAAAATGGAAGTGGGTAGAGGAAATTCATGGAAGTGGCTCTAGGAAATTAGAGCCTTTGTGTGGGATTTGATGGTGCAGGGGCTAATATACTGTATACGTCCACTACATCAACTAAAAGGTCCTGGTCTGTCTTCCATGTGCAGCCACTGGAACATTATACTCTCGGAGCTTAACCCCTGATGATGATGTTTTTCAATATCTTGCAAATACCTATGCTTCACGGAATCCTGACATGAAAAGGAATTCATGTAGAATTAAAACAGGGTTTTCTAATGGAATTATAAACGGATACTCCTGGTATCCACTGAAAGGTGAGTTTCTCTTCATTCTACTCTTCTTCTAGTTGTCTTTACCTAGCCAGTTGCCAGCTGGCCTTTGCTGACCCCAGGAGCTGCCAGAAGTTCGTCAGGCACAGTGGAGTCCCTTCAGCCGTGTCTCTGTCAGCTCACAGCACAGAGCCAGGAGGGGGACGACCGTTTGAGAGATGCTCAGACATGTTCCCTACTGCTAAAGTTGCCTGAGTTCGGACGCTTGTTTAGCATTCACTTTGAGGCCGGGAACTGTGCCAAGAAAGATGAGCAGGACACAGATCTTAAGCCCAAGTTTAACAGAGAAGAGCAACATCTAAGTTAATTGTGATGGCAGTGTCATATGAATAAGAACAGAGATTTAGAAAAGGGATAGTGTACCACACGGGTGTAAAGCCAAACCACAGCAGGAAGTAGTGAAGGCCTTGGAGAAATGTGCTTCTTATGTCTCATCCCGTGGGGGCAGTTGCTACTTGTGTGTTAGTCACCCAGTCGTGTCCAACTCTTTGCGACCCCAAGGACTGTAGCCCACCAGGCTCCTCTGTCCATGGAATTATCCTGACAAGAATACTGGAGTGAGTTGCCATTTCCTTCTCCAGGGATCTCCCCGACCCAGGGATCAAACCCACTTCTCTTCTGTCTCCTGCAATGGCAGGCAGGTTCTTTACCATCTGAGCCACCAGGAAGTAAAGGTGCTACTTACAGCCAGGTAGTTACTGCCACGCAGCGGTAGGGGGCAGTATAGCCAGACCTTCCAGTTTGTGAAGCAGGACGGGTGTTTCCCGAAGTCTCCTGATTTTTCAAGCCACTTTGCAGACTGAACAGAAGAGCCCTCTAGTCTTGCTCCCTTGGAATAGGATAGCCAGGCGAGGGAGGGAGCGAGCAGTTTGCCATGGAGGGAACATGGCAGAGGGGATGTTCTTGTCAGAAGGAACTGTCAGCAGAAGCCCAAGGGTGTCATATTCCTAGTCTGGAAACTCAAAGAGAATAGGCGGGACCGGGGATGGAAGGGTGAGAGCGAGACCGTGGGCGGGGTCCAGGTTTCCACCACCTGGGTGAAAAGTGCCCCCTTTCAGGCTGGCCAGCAGATCCAGCCAGCAGCAGGCCACAGCCTGCATTCCCACACACAGGCCACTTCCTCACTTGTCACCGTAGCCGGGACTTTTATATCTGGGCGGGTTTCTGCCAGCTTTCCAGGGGACATAAATAAGCCTAGACGATGACTGGAAGGCAGCAGGGTCAGCCAGATGCCACAGTACCCCAGACCTCCCTCCCGTGTCCCAGAGACAGGCTCCCTCCCCACCCCACCTCGGGGGCATCGTCCGAGCTCACTGCTCTGCACCCAGAGGGAGGGAGCCGGCCTGCCCGGAGGCCTGCCAATGCGCTCTCCGTGTGACTTCCCAAGACGGAGCCAGATGTGCGGGAGATGGACTAGGAACCTCGTTGTGCGGTGGTGAGTTGTTCCCGAGTGTGCCTTTGTGGCCAGGCCTGACTGGCCTTATCCAGAGCGGCACTCACTCTCCACAGCTGGCATTCTCTATCCTGCGTGCTTTTCACGCCCGTTTTGCCATTTAAGTTCTTTCTACCTGAGACAGTCATCCAGTCAAGGGCTTTTGTTCTGTTTCATTTCTCTCTCCCTTTTTTTCTCTTCTATTTCTTGGTGAAAATGAGCTTAGAAATGCAAAACTTGTAAGTAATGGAAAAGGAAGAAAAGAGTAATTCTTCCTGGCTAAAACTGGGACCTACATGCGTGCATGCATGCTAAGACGCTTCAGTCCTGTCCGACTCTTTGCAACCCTATGGACTGCAGGCTTCTCTGCCCATGGGATTCTCCAGGCGAGAATACTGAAGTGAGTTGCCATTTCCTTCTCCAGGGACCTACATAGGTATTACTTAATAGTTATGTAATATTTTGACCATTTTCTGAGCATAAATATTTACTTCATTACTTCCCAAATACTCTCATGGACTTGAGAAAACTTATTTCACTAGGCAAATATCAAGTATAACTAACTAAAGTCTGGCAGAGACTAGTTCATTCAAAGATACCATATTTCATCAAATCTAAGATGCCAGTGATTGTAAAATATGTCCCACCAAGAAAGAAAAAAGTTTCCAGCTGAACTAATAACACAATGATGCTTTTCATCCATCAAATTTAAGATGCTTCCCAATTCAGAGATTTTAAAATAGAAGTTTTGCATCTTAGAAAATATAACCATTTGAAATAGGGTATTGAGAGGTAAGAACTAGAAAGTGAGCATGGGCAGTGGTAATCCCAGAAGCAGCAGGGGTCTGGGTCTTCCCCTGCTCCCCAAGAGTCCACATGGCCCCATGTCTGTCATCCACAGACATAGTGCGGTGTGATGGTGGAAGGTGGCATGCACTCTGGTTTCAGCCATTCACTAGCAAGAATCCCTGGGTACATGACCTACCATGTGTAATTAAGTTTCTCATCTGTAAAATACAGGTGATAATTACTGTGACGGTTAGAGCTGATAGTGAAGTCCTTCAAACAGTACCTAGCAACAGCAAACACTCAGTAAACATTGGCTATTTTTCCTCCAAATTCATGTACTTCAGTTGCTCAGTCGTGTCAGACCCAATGGACTGCAGCATGCCAGGCTTCCCTGTCCATCACCAACTCCTGGAGCTTGCTCAAACTCATGTCCACCAAGTCAGTGATGCCATCCAACCACCTCATCTTCTGACATCCCCTTCTCCTCCTGCCATCAATCTTTCCCAGCATCAAGGTCTTTTCAAATCAGTCTAGTTCTTCGCATCAGGTGGCCAAAGTACTAGAGTTTCAGCTTCAGCATCAGCCCTTCCAATGAATATTCAGGACTGATTTCCTTTTGGATTAACTGGTTTGATCTTGCAGTTCAAGGGACTCTATGAGTCTTCTCCAACACCACAGTTCAAAAGCATCAATTCTTTGGTGCTCAGCTTTCTTTATGGTCCAGCTGTCACATCCATACATCACTACTGGAAAAACCATAGCTTTGACTAGATGGACCTTTGTTAGCACAGTACTGTCTCTGCTTTTTAACATGCTGTCTAGGTTGGTCATAACTTTTCTTCCAAGGAGCAAGCATCTTTTAATTTCATGGCTGCAGTAACCATCTGTAGTGATTTGGGAGCCCCCCAAAATAAAGCTTCTCACTGTTTCCATTGTTTCCCCTTCTATTTGCCATCAAGTGATGGGACCAGATGTCATTATCTTAGTTTTCTGAATGTTGAGTTTTAAGCCAACTTGTTCACTCTCCTCTTTCACTTTCATCAAGAGGCTCTTTAGTTCTTCACTTTCTGCCATAAGGGTGGTGTCATCTGCATATCCGAGGTTATTGATATTTCTTCTGGCAATCTTGATTCCAGCTTGTGCTTCATCCAGCCTGGCATTTCACATGATGTACTCTGCATATAAGTTAAATAAGCAGGGTGACAATATACAGCCTTGATATACTCCTTTCCCAATTTGGAACCAGTTTGTTGTTCCATGTCCAGTTCTAACTGTTGCTTCTTGACCTGCATACAGATTTCTCAGGAGGCAGATCAGGTGGTCTGGTATTCCTATCTCTAATAATTTTCTACAATTTGACTGCGATCCACAGTCGAAGGCTGGGCATAGTCAGTAAAGCAAAAGTAGATGTTTTTCTGGAACTCTCTTGCTTTTTCAATGATCCACCAGATGTTGGTTCCTCTGCCTTTTCTAAATCCAGCTTGAACATCTGAAAGTTCACAGTTCACGTACTATTGAAGCCTGACTTGGAGAATTTTGAGCATTACTTTGCTAGCGTGTGAGTTGAGTGCAATTGTGCAGTCATGAATTCCTTATTGCCAAATTCAGAGTTAAATTGAAGAAAGTAGGGAAAACCACTAGACCATTCAGGTATGACCTAAATCAAATCCCTTACGATTATACAGTGAGAGTGACAAATAGATTCAAGGGATTAGATCTGATAGAGAACTATGGATGGAGGATCATGACATTGTACAGGAGGCAGGGATCAAGACCATCCCCAAGAAAAAGAAATGCAAAAAGGCAAAATGGTTGTCTGACAAGGCCTTACAAATAGCTGAGAAAAGAGAAGCGAAAAGCAAAGGAGAAAAGGAAAGATATACCCATTTGAATGCAGAGTTCCAAAGAATAGCAAGGAGAGATAAGAAAGTCTTCCTCAGTGATCAATGCAAAGAAAGAGAGGAAAACAATAGAATGGGAAAGACTAGAGATCTCTTCAAGAAAATTAGAGATACCAAGGGAACATTTCATGCAAAGATGGGCACAATAAAGGACAGAAATGGTTTGGATCTAACAGAAGAGGTGGCAAGAATACACAGAAGAACTGTACAAAAAGATCTTCACGACCCAGATAATCACAATGGTGTGATCACTCACCTAGAGCCAGACATCCTGGAATGCGAAGTCAAGTGGGCCTTAGGAAGCACCACTATGAACAAAGCTAGTGGAGGTGATGGAATTCCAGCTGAGCTATTTCAAATCCTGAAAGATGATGCTGTGAAAGTGCTGCACTCAATATGCCAGCAAATTTGGAAAACTCAGCAGTGGCCACAGGACTGGAAAAGGTCAGTTTTCCTCCAATACCAAAGGAAGGCAATGCCGAAGAATATTCAAACTACCACATAGTTGCAGTCATCTCACACGCTAGCGTATACTTGTTTTTACAGAATAAATGTATTTATGAAAGGCTTGTAGAAATATTTTAAAAGAAATTTCACTCTAGTTTCTCCCTGTTTAAACTGTAATTTAGGAAAGAAATGTAATATGAAGAATCCTTTTCATAGTTGTGATTTTTAAAAAGGACCCTTCCCTTACTCGTCAGTTAATCTGGATGCATAGATGAACATCAGTCAGCTCTGATTCAGTTACCCATATGGGAATATTTAGGATTGCTTGGTCATGTCTGGATAATAAAATGTCAAGCTGTAATTGTACATGCCAATATGTCAAATTCATCTTTTCCTGTTTACATGTACTGTCATTACAACTGTCTGATTCACCTGTCTCCAAGGTATGTGATACTTGACTTCACTCCAACTTCATACTTTTTAAAAAACTTAAATATGCTTGTGTTTAGGTGGAATGCAAGATTACAACTACATCTGGGCCCAGTGTTTTGAAATTACATTGGAGCTGTCATGCTGTAAATATCCTCGCAAGGAGAAGCTTCCAAGTTTCTGGAAGGATAACAAAGACTCCCTGATTGAATATATAAAACAGGTGCACATAGGTTTGTAAGATTTTCTTATTAATTCCTATTAACATAAAATATAGCATCTGGCAAAACCTTTGTGTTGAGAAAATGCAAGCCCCTATTTCTGTTTTCTGGGTTCAGCCTCATTTTTAGTACCAAAACTATCGGTTCAGAATTCTCTCTGCATGAGCATCTGTAGCATGTGAAAAATGCAGCACCCATCAGCTCATATAAGGGAAAGCATGGTGTGTGTTACTTTAATATGGGGGTGTAAATCCAGAGTACTTCTAATTTTACATGTTGAATGACCTGGAAATCTGGCAAAAGATCGATAAAACAGGCTCTCACTCTGTTACATCATCACCCATTTAGAAATAAGCCAAGTTTGCTTGTCATTTGCCAGACCCAGAGATCGTTGGACATGCCGTTTTACATTTTCTTCTAGAACTGGGGTGATGACCTAGCACCATTAGCTTCAACCCCTCCCACCTCTCAACTGTGCCAAATGAGCAGGTACTGGGAGTCTTTGCAGCCTGTTTTTTGATGCCTATCTGACCTTTATGAGAGATGAGCAGACAGTGTGAGAAGAGCATCATTCTCAGCCATGTGCAACAGACTCACCAGGAGAGTTTATTAAAACATGGCTTGCCAGGCCCATCCTCAGAGTTTCTGATTTAATGGGTCTGGAATGATTGACATCTTCGCTGGTGATGCAGACACTGCAGGTCCAGGGACTACTCTTTGAAAGCCATTGCACGGGAATAGCACATCGCTTGTGGTGATGGTGGAACCTTGGGCAGGGTGTGGAAGGCTCTTCTGCATTGCCCATGTTATTGTTCTCCATTCAGAACAGTTGAGGGAAGCAAGGCATCAAGAATTGGAGTAACGGTTATGCTACCATATGAAGCCAAAGTGGAGAGTGTGTGTGTTGAAGAAGTTGTCATCATGGACCTATTGCATAATTGCAGAATTCCTGGGTTTTCTGCACGCTTCACACCAAAGCTTCCCACCTGCTGCAAAGAGATGGGGTAGTTGAGGGGTACAGGGCTGAATGCAGGGACAATTAGAAGCTTCCGTTGGCCATACATCCCAAACATGGATATTCCTTCCCCCTTTCATACTTGACCCCCAACTTCTTGCCACCCCAAAACAAAGTACAGGAAGATTATGTATTTTTTAATATTTATTCTTATTTATTTGGCTGTACCGAGTCTTATTTGCGGCATGCAGGATCTTTAGTTTTGGCATGCGAACTCTTATGTGCAGCATGTGGGATCTAGTTTCTGACCAAGGATTGAACCCAGGCCCCCTGCATTGGGAGCACAGAATCTTAGCCACTGGACCACCCAGGAAGTTCCCAGAAATATTATTTTTGAATTGGCAGGACTGCATCTAACTGGCTGAGACATCAATGGAGTAGGTTGATGGGGGAATATTACAAACTGTAGTATTACCAGCATATTAGTGTAACTTTTACCAGCATCTTAATAATTTTTATTGAGCTTATTATTGGGTCTTTTTCCTTTTTTATTATGTCACCAGACTGTGTTCTGGTGTTTCTCCTTTTGACGTTCTTCACGAGGCATATTTCTACTTTTGCTGTAGCTTCTACCTATACCAATCTTTTAGTGTAAACTCTAAAAATTCCGCCTTCAGAAGAATAAAACTGGGAGGGCAACAGAACACAGAATACGCTCTATGAACTTCAGACTAGCTGGAAAGGTTAGGGTACTCCTGGGCACTGAGTTAAGGTGGGCTCTGAAATATCATGCTGAAATAATACTGTCAGTGAAGGAGCTTTGTAAATTGTTAAATGACATACAAATTATGGCCTAAGCATTGTTGTTATTAAAGCATTTACAAGTCCATTTAACTAGATTTTATAAAGAATATTCATCTATCTGTGTGTCCTTATAATCAGATGTGCACAGTTCACTTAAATCCTATGTGTTAATGTCTATTAACACATCAACACTGCCCCCTTGTGGTTTAAGACAGGGTTGTTTTTTGGGGGGTTTTTTCCCTCCCTAATTTAATAATGAAACCCTATTTCAAAATACTGATACAGCATGGTTACTGTTACCTGATAGAGAGGCTCTCTCCATATTGGTGCCCGATGGGAAGCCAAAGAGTATGTTTGTGGATAATGGAAGCAAACATTTCTTTACCATTATTGCTCTGGTTTAAGAAAATTATTGAGGTTTGTCAAGGTGCATCACATTCATTGGTTCAGTTTCACCACTTGCTATGATGCTAATATCTCAGATTTCCAGGTGAGCCAAAGATTCTGGTAAGTGGTCCTTGTCTGGGAAGGAAAGGCCTCTTGCTCTAATGGAAGGACCTGGTCTAGAGCAGGGGTCCCCAGCCTCTCTAGTGCCTGATGATCTGAGGTGGAGCTTATGTAGTGATAATGGAAATAAAGTGTGCAGTAAATGTAATGTGCCTGACTCATACTAAAACCATCTCTCCACCCCTGGTCTGTAGAAAAATTGTCTTCTATGAAACCAGTCTATGGTGACAAAAGTGTTGAGGACCGTTGGTCTAGAGGGCAGGAGCCTGGGTAAAGCCTAAGCTGTCCTGTTATCTGCCTGTGTGAAACCTTGCAAGTCACTTGCCTTGACTGTTTTTAGTCAACTGATAGCTGGGACCAGCAGCATATACCTTGCCTCACCCCAGCTTATTCTAAGGTTCTGACTGGTCATTCTTTCAATTAAATCTCATCTCCAACCTCAGTCTAAACTCAGGCTCTTTGTTGCTGTGTCGTCAAGCTTAAGAGGGTTGACCAGGCTTAGGCTGAGATGAGGGTAAGGCAGACATTAAGGCAAGTCTGAATTATAGGGACCTGGAATGTCCCAAAAGTTCCCTCTTTGGGGAGAAGTAAAGATGATCAAGACATGACATTATCTGCTGCTGTCCTCTTCCCCTGAACTCCTTAGAGCAGAGCTGAACCCAGAGGTTGGGGGATGGCCCACAGCACCCAGAAACCTAAGCAGCCTGGGCCTGAGAGAATCAGGTATGTGCTGAGTGCCAGAAGCCTGAGAGACACAGATAATGCATCTGTCATGGGATCCCAAAGTCAGTGACATCTGTGCTCATCAGGTGGGGACATGGGAATGAACAGTCCCCCGAAAACCACCAGCTCAGACTGCGCTCTGGCCAGTTCTTGCCCAGAATGTGCTTTTCATCCACGGAGCCTGATACATCCCCAGGGGATGTACATTTATTTCTCCCTCTCATTTCCAGGTGTGGCCACAAAATTTAAGTCTCAGATTTCATTCTCCTTTGCCTATTACATGAACATTTTTCAAAATTTTGCATTTTGTTCTCCTGATGTCATAGTGCTGTTATCTGCAAATCTTTGGATCTACTGGTCTTTTTTTTTCTGTTTTCAATTTTAACATACAGAAATAAATCATCTCTTTTGGTAAAACAACCACTTATAAGTGAAAAGTTTGGTGGTGTCTGGACAGAATATTGAAAAGACATATAAGATCCAAAGATAGCTTACATTTGGCTGGTGGTATGGGGCTGTCCTCTAATAGAAATTCTGCAGTTAAGCATGGTCTGTGTTTGTTCAGTAACAGTGATATTCAGATATTCCCAGCTTGAACTACTGTCTCTAGGTTTGGGTAAGGTGTATACAGAAATGAATCTTTTTAATCTTTAGCGGACATTGAATGAAAGTCAAACTCGAATATGAAGACTTTAGCAACTGACCTGAATCCAAATTACTGTTTGTTTCCCCGTACTTGAGGATAGGCAGACCATAGGTCCCTGGAAATCTTTCTTCAGTTTCACAGATTATATAGGGGGGCTGTGTGGGTATCTAAGGTCATCCAAAAACACTGTTCACAGGCTGTCAAAAAATTCAGATCTGTTCTGTTAAAGCATAACAACCATCTCCAGCCAAGAAGGAAATGCTAACCATTTTTTTATTTGAAATAAAATTGATTTACAGTGTCTTAATTTCTGCTGTATAGCAAAGTGACTCAGTTTTATATATGTATATATAACATATAGTTTTATATATTTTTCATATTCCTTTCTGATTTATCACAGGATATTGACTACAGTTCCCAGTAGGACCTTGTTGTTTATCCACTCTATACAGCTTGCATCTGCTAATCCCAAACCCCCAATACATCCCTCTCCCACCCCCTCCCCCTTGGCAACCACAAGACTGTTCTCTGTGTCTGTGGTCTGTATGTATGTACAACATCTTTATCCACTCATCTGCCAAAGGACATTCATGTCTTGACCTTTGTGAACAGTGCTGTTAACATATGGGTACATGTATCTTTTTGAATTATAGTTTTGTCTGGACATATGCCCAGGAGTGGGACTGCTGGATCATGTAGCAATACTGTTTGCAGTTTTTTGAAGCATCTGCATACTGTTTTCCATGGAGACTGCACCAACTTACATTCCTACCAACACCGTAGGCAGGCTTCCTTTTCTCCATACCCTCTCCAGCATTTGTTATTTGTAGACTTTTTAATGATAGCCATTCTAACCAGAGTGAGATGGTATCTAATTGTAGTATTGATTTGCATTTCTCTAGTAATTAGCGATGTTGAGCATCTTTTTATGCCTGTTGGCCATCTGTATGTCTTCTTTGGAGAATTGTCTAGTTCTGCCCATTTTTTAAATCTTTTTGAGTTGTATGAGCTATTTATATAGGAGGCTTAGTCACTAAGTCGTGTCCGACTCTTGCGACCCCATGGACTGTAGCCTGCCAGGCTCCTCTGTCTGTGGGATTCTCCAGGCAAGAATACTGGAGTGGGTTGCCATTTCCTTCTCCAGGGTACCTTCCCGACCCAGGAATTGAACCCAGGTCTCCTGCATTGCAGGCAGATTTTTTACCAACTGAGCTACAAGCGAAGCCCCACTGTTTATATATTCTGAAGATTAATCCCTTGTCAGTTGCATCATTTGTAAATGTTTTCTCCCAGTCCATAAGTTGTCTTTTCATTTTGTTTATGATTTCCCTTGCTGTGCAAAAGCTGGTGAGTTTGATTAGGTCCCATTTGTTTTTG